ACTTTTCTAAAACAGCTTACTATCCCTTGTAAACGTTGTACTTACCTCAATATTGGTTGGTTATCGTATGCCTACAACTACGGGTTGAAAACGATACGAAGTCGATTTTCCTGCGCAACCTGGAGGACTACTGTTTAATTCAATAATGATACGACATGGGTCAGACAAAGAGTGTATTTATACATATATCGAATATTTAGCTGTTCAAACATTACTAACTTGTAGACAATCTACTATTTGACATTATATCATACTTGATCGTGCCTGTAAAAATGGCATGCATTTTCATGTAAATTTATGTTTATATGAAAACATAAATTATTATTATTAATTAGTCAACAGAGAGTGGCGACCACTCGCCTTTTTCTCAAGGCGCCTACAATTAGAAGAAACGAAGTACAGCACATTCGGAAGAGAACTTCTGGTTATGTACTGTGCTATACGCCATTTTCGACATTCAGTGGAGGGTCGTGTATTTATAATTTTCACTGACCACAAAACTCTGACGTACTGCCTGAACTCAACTTCAGATAAGTATTCACCTAGAGAATCACGACAACTGGATTACGTTTCACAGTTTACACCGGATATTCGCTATATATCCGGAGTGAACAACACTGTGGCAGATGCCTTGTCGAGCATTTGTTCTTTCACCAAAGTTGGTGGCATAGGCCCTATGAGACTGGCTCATCTTCAAAAAGAAGATACTGAGCCTCAACATAAGTTTTCGAAAACAAAACTGCGATTGGCCGAGAAGTCCTTAGGTATGGGAAGAGACACTATTCTCTGAGGCATTTCCACCAGTACATTTCGTCCCATCGTGCCTAAATGTTATCGCCGTAACGTCCTCAATACGTTGCACGGCTTATCACACCCAGGTATCCAAATCACCGTCAAGCCCGTATTTAGTCGGTTTTGTTGGCCTGTTATTAATAAGGGAGTAAGGGAATGGGCACACGCGTGCTTAGCTTGCCAAAAGTGCAAGGTGATGAGACACACCAAAAGCCCCCTTGGCACCTTTCTTATCCTTGATACCCGTTTCGAACACGTGCATATAGATTTAGTTAGCCCCGTTCCAGAATCTCACAGATAAACCTACATTTTAACCTGCATCGATCGTTTCACACGATGGCCTGAAGCAGTGCCCGCCAAAGATGTATCTGCTGAAATAGTCGCATGCATCTTCGCCCTGACCAAAATCATATGTCATATGCATTTTAGAAAAACAGCCTACCATCCTCAAGCTTATCGTTTAGTAGAAGGCTCACACCCACATTTGAAGGCTGTTATCAGCTGCGAACTGTGTACATTGGACTGAATCACTCACTTTAGTTCTCCTAGGGATACGAAACGCTTTGAAAGCTGATACTGGTTGAACTATCTCTGAGCTAGTGTATGGTATGTCACTACGACTGCCAGGTTAGTTGGTTTCTCCCTCGAGCTACCCACCAGCAGTAGATCACTCGTCATACGTCAGCAGGCTTAAAAACTCAATGCGTTCAGTTAAACCTGCTCCCCTTCGACTTCAGTCTATTAATGTCTTCGTTCACCTCTGTTTAAAAATTTCTTCACACGTATTTGTTCGTCATGACTCTGTGCGTCGCCCTCTAGAACCCTCTTATGACGGACCATATAAAGTAATTAAACGTACGGATAAATTCTTTGTCTTAAACGAGAAAGGCCGCATAGATACCGCCAGCATTGACCGTCTGAAACCGGCTTACTTAGAAGGTAATCCTACTAGCATAGAGCTGAACGTACCCGATAATCCACAAGTAATTGAATATCCTTTAGTCCTCGAAGAACTCCTTAGCATGGCGAAAGCCACCGAACCTTCCGTCGACCACTCTAAGAGAACGCGTTCTGGACGTCACGTAAGATTCCCAGAATACCTTCACACCTATATCACATAACTGAGTGGTGCAGTTCACTCAACTCATTCGTTTGTGGTATTAATCATTATTTCTTCCTCTCAGACACATCAGCATTTTTATGTAGCATCACTAAACCCAAGTAAAAATTTTTCTATAACCGTACATTATACATGCACTAAAAAATTAGATGTATACTTTTTTCGATGTTTTAAACTTTTCATTATCTTACTCTATCGTAGATGAACATCATTTTAAAAAAAGCTGATTTGGTACATTTTCCTCAACAAGGTTCATAGAATTCTTGTTTCCTTTTCCAGGTGCGACGGGCACTGGACAAGAAACAGACGAAGCACGAGATCCAACGAACAACATCAAGAAAACCATGTTCAAACATCATATTAGCATAGGCAGACAGACCAGTAGGCACCCGGAAGCGTTTTTTCACCTCTAAGGGAACCATCGAGTTTTACTTCCTGCTGGTTCTGTCTTAATGTCCTCACAACCCCACTAGTAGGGGAATGAGCTGTAGCGGTAAATAATTCCCCAAAATTATTGACCACAGCAATCATCACTGGACATTGGATGCTGACCCTCACTGTTTAAGTCGACTTGTTTAGCTGAAGGCTTCCGGTCAAGCATCCATGCCATTTGATACTCCGTCGTGTCACGTGCGTGCATGATCACTAGCCAGCTTAACAATCAACTCACAATCCGTTTGGGTTCCTAAATATATCTCGTAGTTTGGACAATCAATTCTGTTGTTTTGCTTTGCCTTTGGTCTACGAGAAACGAATACTATAGAAGTTATTGGTATAATATCTTGCGTTAGTATACTACGTACAATTCGCGAACGCCGATACGTCAGCCTTTAAACCACAATCATGATGCTAATTCTTAGGTTTAATTGGAAACTTGTGAATCAGCCGGTTAAAAACTTTTTAAATAATCACGAGAGTAAATTATACGATTTAGACTTATGATTGAATAATCAAAGCGAAATAAATCCAAGTAATCAGTTGCAATTTAAATGATGGAAAAGTTTTGGTAGCCCAGGGCTTAAGCAGGCCACTTCAGTTTTCGTATTGCGTAACTTTCATCATTTAATTAGATTTATTTGTTGAATTGCCTTTATATGCACATAAGTGTACCCTGGTTACTCTTATCGCCATGTGCATAAACGTTGTTATCATTATAACCTTCGTTATTACTGAAATTCAAAACATTTAACACCTATTATTATTTTTTGATCCACAACCTCCCCGTCATTGGTTAAATGTTTTATATATGAAGCCGTGTAAACAAGCATAAAGCCTGAAGATCTAATTGAAAACGATTTTGTTCGCCTATACGTCTCGTTCTTATCTTAACAATGTGAAGATTTAGTGACTTATCAAATAAAACACTCGATGCATTGAATTTACTGTGTAACCAACAAATCCAAGATAAACACTACCACTTAAGGAGGGGTTATCGACTTCCACTCACATTCCAGTGCCTTTAACCTCCATTCAGCCATGCCTTTCTCCATTTTCGAGTCCACTAATTTGCATACATTAATATTCACTAATAATCCTCAAAATCTCTTTCATTATTAATCTCATTTTCTTTGACCATATCAAAGGACTAACATGTGAAGGGGCCGGCTTCGATCACGAGAATGTCACATCTGGAAATAGATTACAGGATTCATGCCAAGTCAAATCCATTCCTCAGTTCACAGAGTCTAATAAACCAAAATCAGGTTAGTGGCGGGATTGAGCGTGCAGATACTCACTGAAGATCAGTAGATAGTTCATTTCGGTTCCGATTTATTTGCGAAATCACGTTGGATATTGGGTTAAGAACAATATTTTTATTTCCCACTTCTTTTCCCTGCGGGTTTGTCGTCCCTGGAATTCCTTACCGGCAGATGTAGCCATGGCACCATCTGTGGACACCTTTAAGCGAAGGCTGGACAACCATGCAGCGACACAAGGACTGCATCCAAATGGCCTATCCCCTTAAAATCGCATACACCTTTGAAAGGTAGACAATTAAACTGGTCGTTTTACTTCTTTATATTCTCTTCCGTCTTACTCTCCTGACAGCTTTAACTACACCTATTATTATTGTTATCATTATTACTGGTACATATATATACCGGTTGACTGACTGTTGTTACGTTTTCTTATTCTTTTTCTGTCTGTTAGTCTGAATACCTTCACTAATTATATCTATTATTATTATTATCATTATTATTATCTCTTTTCTATTGAAGACGATACCGAAGGACCAACTGGTGAAAGGATCAACTCCATTCACAGTAGTAACAGTCTTAACACACCTCATACTACAAACCACATATAATTAATCCCTGTACTACTCCTTTTGAAGTCAACCAAAGCTACGACAGTCGAGTGGCGGGACGAGCTACGCAGACGTTTACCAAAGATCAGGAACCTATAGCTCACAATCAAGAGGCGAGCACAAAGAAATCAAATTGGTTTATACTAGCTCGTAAAAACGATATTGGATATTGTGAGGTTGCTGACCTTGGCGGTCACTTCAAGCATAACCTTAATTTTTGTAGAAAAGCTTATTTTTAGAGCGTTTGGAAGAACATAACATCTCATCCACAACCGAAATACTTCAGCCAAAAAACGGAATATATTATCGTTTGATATCTACTGGTAAAAGTCTTGTCAAATCATCATGAACTTTTGCAAACGATTTTCTGTTTTATATGTACGTAAATCTGTGGTTAACATGACACCATTGCACGTCAATCAATACTTCAGTACACGGAGCACCACAGGTGTTGGTAAGATGACCTTTGTTTTGTTTATGTTTAGGAATACTCGATGAGTCTGAGAAAATTACCTCTGGTGAAACTGAACAAAACTTACCAAATGATTTAAATCAGGAAACGGGCGAAATAGGGGGACCTCGGGGTCCTGAACCAACTCGTTACGGTGACTGGGAGTATAAGGGGCGTTGTATTGATTTCTAGTTTTTGGTGATATTTCACTGTATGTTTGTAACATGAGTTTCAATAAAAGCTTTTCTCAGACCTGATTTCACGTTTTCAAATTTGTGTAGTGAATAAGTATATTCGCAGCTCTTAGTGTGCCGATTTTAGGTTGGGAAATGATCAAATGGCTCCACAAGAGGGAGATTACTCGATGTTATTCCTCTCCAATAATCGATTTAAGTTGTGGACTTAAGACGTATCACCTGCGTGAAATCTTGCCTCAGAGTGCAATATTCGACATTTTTCTCGGTTTCTCAGCAGATGGGTGCTTTTTGGTATCATACAAAAGTGATTTCAAGCATCATATTTTGCGATTCTGGCTGTTCCCACCAGCTAGTACTCAACGTTGTGGAATGTCACTTACTTTGTACGCAGAAAGAAAATTTATAAGAAGTTGTTACTATCCGAACCTTCCCAGTATTCCATGTGTTAGATTTGTGCAGACACTGTCAAGTCCGAAAGAGTTTCTACTACTTGCATGCAATGTAAGTGCCTTTTTATGTTGCATTTCATATGTTAAATCCCAAAATTCATTTTGATGTTCTACTTGTGTTGACTGAAAGTGTATTACTGTTGTAGCCTGTTTCGTTTTTAATACTATGACACAATCGACAAGAATTCTAAATCCCATACTGTCACTCCTTGCAGTGGTGCAGAGCAAAGTATTTATGTGTTTCCGTTTTACTGTTCTCTAACTTGCTAACAGATATTGAAATAATTATATGTATATGTGAACCTGAGTTACGTTCTTATAATGTGTCGTTCTAATGATATAAAGTATGGTCACATTTACTGAGTGATATACAAATATTAAAGACTTTCATTATCACTTGAGTAGTATTCAGTAGAAATGTACGAAAATCAAGACTAGAGTTCACGAGGTACCCAATAAGCAGAAATCTTATGTAGTGTGTTTCTAAATCTATTTCCTTATTACAGAATCATATGCTGTCTGTTTTTGTTCAGGCTGAAAATATGACGTCTCTTATTTACATTAGAAGAAAGCTGGTGCATTTAGGATTAGTATGAAAATAAATTGGTAGTTCATAATGTAATTTATAGTATACTGACTTAATACAAAAACCGTTTGAAATACTAATGAATGTAAATTTTACGAAACACCTAAGTAATTTACAGGACCATGGGGCAGTTTTCTTAATGCTGTATTTTCGCTCACTTGATGTTTAGGATGATGGCACTGGATTCGTTGCTGCATTTGGCCTTATACCTGATTTGGATTGCAGTTCTTGTTTAGAAGCATCATCGAGTCGTGATAGTCCAACTTCTAGATCCACCTGCAGTATTCATTCACGAGTGTTACCTCTCAATCTTGATCTATCTCACGCACAAGAATCTTCTGCCTCAGTTAGAAGTAACGTCAGAGATTTGAACAATCCTCAGTTTTTATCTTGTGATACTCAAGATATTGTACCACCATGTTTCCGTTCACGTGATGGAACCTGTCGATCCAATAATGAAGGTTCTTGTTTTGCTTCAACTGGTTTGCCTATTGGACAAATCCAGGTCGGTGTTTCTGCGAATACTGGGCATTTACGGATTGCCTGGGCCAATCCAGATGCACAAGTTAAAGTAATATCATGCTCCTTTGAAAAGTCTATAAATCCTGATGAGTCATCACTTTGTAAGCTTCCAAAGGTAATTTTAACCTTTTTAGTGCTACATATATGTACATAGTTTTAATAGTTAAACTGTAACAAGCATCTTGTTTTCGTTTAAGCATAAACTGTGATGTAGCTTTCTGTAAAGCAAAAATGTGAGGTGTACTTCGAGAGTTTTCTTATTGCTCCTAAACGTCTTATCCTTTCTTCCCTGCTAGATGTGATACTGTCAGTCCCTTACTCTTAAATTCCGTTGCACTATTCATATTGTCAAATTATGTGAAAGACGGAGTAGTTGTACAGTTTATTTAGTCTTCTGTGTTTTTGTTTCCTTATAGCACATCTGTTAATGAGAAAACAACATAGTACTTAACATTGTGATTTTTTTTCCTGTGGATTAGTAAATTATGAAAACGCTCCCATTCTGCTTTTCTATCTTTATAGGGTATGTCCACATCATTGGGACATTATCCTTCTTCATTAGTTTATAAGCCTCCACTTCTTACTCATAACTACTGTTCAACATGCTATTCGTGGCCGGAAGAAGATCAGCAATGTAACAAGGAACATGTGTCCTCATTTTCAGTCTCATCCGGTCAAGATTCTACAAAATGCATTTTTTCACATGATTCACTCAATATTTTATTGGTCAGTGATTCCTTGTCATGGCCGGATAATCATTCGAATATGCATGTAAGTATGTTTGTTTACTTGGTAACAATACGCTTTTCATTGCATTTAATATAGTCCTTTCGAATATTTTTCTGTTACTGAAGCCTTTTAAGTATTTTCTTTCCTCCTCTGTCTCCTTGTGCATGCTTTATCTTTATGTATTTTTATTAGTGGCAATGGACTATTCTCACCAGTGGTTAAATCTGTTGTTATTTTTATCACAAACACAAACTTGGTACATTACGGGTGTCCGGAGATGCGCCACACAAAACTCATCGTTTGTGTAAGGACTGGAACACTGCTCGAGCTTCCAGATAGAAGCGGTTGGTTGCCTTAGAGGACTACCCCCACGAGCCTTTGACTTGAAGCCTGATCCGCAAGGTGGTGAAGCAGCGTCAGGAGCTGCATTCTCATAGTTTTCAGTGAGCAAAACAGGTCCATACGCTATTCGATCCGTTTGGATTCTGAAGACCATGTTCACCATTGGTTTGGAATCAGGGTTTTCCAGCCCCCTTAAACAGACCAGGATATCCATCAATCCGGTTGTGAGCACCTTTTCTTTTTTGTGAGGAATACTCCCGCCGCTTGAAGGCAGTGAATAGGATTCACCTGACAGAGGCTATGAATGCTTGGCCATATGAGTGTTTTGAGAGGAAGTCTAAAGTGTACCCACCCTCTTCTGTATTGGGTCGTTTATGGGCACAGTTAAATCTCCAGAGCTAACCTACGGTACATTTCATAGTGGTTGTTTTTGTGTCACCTTGCTGCTTGTTTCAACGAAACAGATTGTTTCTCACTAAAACGTTTACTAGAGATTAGGGGAAATGTTTTTTGAATTCCAAATGCGGATTGTCTAAGAAAAAAAGGTGCATTATTATAATCCTTAATTACATGGTGCTCAACAGTGTAATTTCGCGTGGGCAATATCACCTCAGAATGTGTGCAAGTAAGTACTTATATTATTGCTTTTTTTAGCAACACATTCCAGCATATTTTTGTAAAGATAGGATTAGCAATGACTCCTTAACTAAATGTGGGAATTTTTTCTCCAGAGAAAACGATTTATTTCTAAACTGAACACAAAATAAGTATTGCAACATTACCAAGAAATGTACCAGAGTTTTCAGGAGGGTCTTAACCGTGTCAAGAAAGTAAAAATTTCCATCGTTTCCATCCACTGTCGAATGTGTTCTTAAATTTTGTCATTCAGTATATCATGGTTTTATTTTACGTTAGTGACCAGAATGCATGTGTCATTTCAGTGACTTTTTCATTGTTCATAATTGTAGAGGCACTTATGTAAAAAGCAAAACTGTCTATTCTAACTGCTAAGTAATTTATTGCACTTATAGGATATCTATGGTTATAATCAAAGCTAAATATATTTTGCTGCATAATGTAGCGTTGTGGTGTGTTCTATTGTAAAATGATTACTTGTATTAAAGGATTTGTGAAGGCTATCGGTCTGCAACTGTCGTTTAGTTTTCTGGCATTATTCTTGCTAAATGGAATGAAAGTAATATATATTTGCATTGATGTAGGCGTTTTGTTTATGGATAGACTTGGAATTTCTCTTTAACAGTCATGCAGCTTAATGTACATAAGTAGCTGCAACTAACACAACACTCACAAGTGCATTTTTTGTCGGAATACTTTTTTGCCTTTATATCTTTTAGCCAGATGGTGCTGAAAGGATATGTCATCAGTGTTCATCTAACAATTTTGCTAATGGTGTCCAGTCAAAACGTAGGATATTTCCAGACGTATGGGTTCCATCACTGTTGTCAGACAGGCCATGCTTTTTATCATGTATTCAACTTACATATCTTGCAATGCTGCAAGATATTCGAGCTTCGTACTTACACTGGGTAAGTTCTGATTTCTCTAATTATATTCAAACAAAAGTATAACATCTTGTGTTTTCATTGGTTAGTTTTATTTGTTACGAATGTAAAAGTAAACTTCGATTTCGGTTATAAAATCAAAACATTTTTTTATGCTTAAGATATTTAATACCTTCATGGTATACATGTAGATATAAGTGATCAACCAGTTAAAGTGTATACTTTCAGAATGAATACTATTTGTCAATATAATCTTTCTTGCTCAAATGTCTGGCATAGGCAAAACAACTTGCCATCAACATTAGTTATTTTTAAATAGTCAGTAATAATAGATATTGTTATTCCCTTGAGTTCCGAGTGAACTTGAACAGAGCACATCTCCATTCCATTCTATTTTCTGCAGTCCTCTTTAGCTGGCTCCACAATGCTCATAAGCTTTCATCTCTTGCTCACATGACCCCCTCCATGTCATCTTCGGAGTAACGTCCAACTCGTTGTTCGCCATTCGAACTCCACTTAAGGGCCTGTTTGGCATATGATCATATCACTCAGTGGTCTCCTCAGCACGTCTCCGATCCATCTCCATTTCCTTCGGCATATTTGTTGGGCTATAGATTCTTGGTTGGTTCGTTACCTGTTAGAGTTCCTTGTTGTTAATCCTTGTCGGGCGGCAAGTATGGAGTGAAGGCGCTGCATGTCTACCTAAAATTAGGTCAGGAAAGCTCGGTTGAATTTTCTAACCTACTAACTGTGAATTTAGTGCTTAACTCCACGAAATATAACTGGCAAAGTTAAACTTTAAGCACCAGTAAGTACCAATGGACAAATGACCACACTGATAAAGGCGATTTTTACGTATAAAAAAGATGTATACATGAAACAGGATACCTTTCTCTGACGTGTGACAAAAGTACCTCTCACTTTTAGATTGCAGTGTCAATGGAGTTGTTTAACGATATTCTCTTCATGCAATTATCTGGTCTTTTAACCCTAACAATAAACCTTATCTTTCTTTAACCTAACCCTAAAGTAGAAATATCCCTAAGCTAACCCTAACTCTTGATTTCCCACAAACTGGAAGATATACAAGTGAAAAGCAACAAGTTGGCAGAAGAAGCATCAAAGATAAGACTTCAGGGGAACATAGAGAAAACAGAAGTGATGAAGATTCCTGGCCAACAGCAACAGTAATCTGAAAGAAGCAATCTCCTTTCCATACCCACCCACCTGGAAAGCATCCTTTCAACTACAGGCGAACGGATCTGATGAGGATTTCAAAGAGAGGATCGGGAAAGCAAGGCAAGCTTTCATTTCTTTCAAGTCTTGGTGGAGGTCAGCAACACTCAGCATTAAAAATAAGATCCGGATTTTCAACTCCAATGTGAAGTCAGTGCTACTATACGGATCAGAGACTTGCACTGCGCTTCACGAAGGCCACTTCGACAAACTACAGATCTTCATCAACAGCTGTCTTCGCTCAGTACTATTCAAGATCAGATGGCGGGCCAGAAAAGATCAGCAACAGGGAGGGATCTCTGAGAGCGAACCGACTCAGCAGGAACCGATTGTGCAACAAATAAGCAGGAAGAAATGGAGGTGGATTGACCATACTCTGAGAAAACAAACCATCAAGTGAAATCACACGCCAGGTCATTGCTCGAAGGGAACCCAAATGGGAAGTGGCGAGTCAGTTGGTCGTCAGTGCGAGGGTAACATAGAGGAGGTTGTGTGAAGAGGAGATGAAAGCATGTGGGCAGACGTGGAGCCGGGTGAAAACGTTAGCAGGGAACCGAACGCAATGGAGACGTGCGGCTGAAGCCCTATGTTCTTGTAAAAATTAAAGGAGACAATAATAATAATAACTCGAACCAACCCTAACCTGTCCTTAGCCTAAACTTTAACTTAATCTTTCTCAAACCAAACCAAGTGTTTCAAGGTCACTGGGACGGTCTCACTCCATTGGTATTTACACTGGTGCTTAAAGTTTAACTTGGCCATGTAACTGTACTCTTACTTCTGGATAGGATATGATGAATTACTTACTATTGCAACTCAGTTAGTTGAGTGTAGATATTTCCGGATTATGTTGGCTTTACTCATATTGTGTGTACTTCTATTGTTGTTTTATTTTCTTTTGTATTTTCATGTTTAGACATTAGTATCACGAAATAAGAATAAAATGGATAATACATCTAATCTAACCAATACTGCGTATACTGTTTATCAAAATGAATCTTCTGAAGAGTATGCCAGTGAATGGAATATAAATAATTCTCCGTTATCTTCACATGCCAGTTCAGATGATGATACAGAAGCAATGTTAAGTAGTCCAGATAGTGAAGATACAAGTTCATCTCCTGAAGACTTGTTAGTTCATCGTCTATCTGGCCAATGTCACACATCATTTGACCTTACAGAATGGGAGGAATATATAGCACCTAATGTACAAACTGTTACTAGTGATGAGAATTCTAATTGTAGTTTAAAAAATGAAAAGTTATCAGGTCGTATTATTGCACATTTAGAAGAGGTTGTATTTGATGTGAGTAGTTTAAAAAAAAATTTTTTTATTAACCATAATATTCTGTAATAATGGTATTTTTTGTTTACTCTCCTAATACTTTTAAGTTTAATCACAGGTTGATATTAGTTAGAGAAACATTGAAAACTAGGGAGTGAGTATCAGACAGCTTTTTCATTCTAATCTGGGACTCTTCAACAGTACGTACCCATGACCCCACTAGGGTGTGTGGAACCCAGTACCTTCAGATTGTAAATGGTTAGAAATTAGAATTCACGAGCCACTGAATGCCGGTGCAAATGGCTGAGTTTGGCTTCGTAACTTGAAGGTCCGTGGTTCGATCCTTAGTAGGGTGGTGGAGGGTGCGAACTGTTGGAGATTTCTAAACTGGGACGAGATAGCTGTCCAGTCGGTACCCATTAGTAGTTGTCAATGGTTCCCTAACTGACATCAATCCGCTATCAAACATGAAACAGATCGATTCCTTAAAAATAAGTCCTTAAATATGAAGACTTTAGAGAATTGACTATTTATAGGATAATTAGAAAATTCTTTAAAAGAGACAGTTAAAAGTTTTGGGTAAAAAATAAGCCTAAGAGTATATCAATAAAGTAGATTACTTAACTACACAAATATTTATGTTTATATAAGATAGGAGTAAGTTGAGTAATGTTCAGATGAAATGGTAACATTTTCTAGACAGAATGGAAGATATGTTAGAGTACATGACTTAACTCTTTTATTTTTGTTTTGTTCAGATTGTAGTCATTCGAGAAGAATCCTCGAAATAATAGAAAATGAGCTTATGTCATCCTTGTATGTACATTTATCATTCTTTCTTTGTTCGAACTTACAGTAATAATATATCTTGAATTCATTTTGGAGAACAGTCATACTAAAAGACAAACAGATTGTGATGTCATTAGGAAAGTTTATTATGCATGAAACAACATACTACTAACTGACTGAAATGAGTAGTTCTATACCATTCACATCAACCAGTGGTGCTTACCAGCCAGGTTGAAGTAATCTAAACACTTTTTTTTAATCCTTCACGTTCCCAGTGGAACATGGGGCTTCAATCCAGAGGCTTGACGTTTCTGTAGCAGTGTTGTTCATTTTTGCAGGATGGGGTTGTTAGCCTCATGCCCAACCTTCTGCCTTCTTCACCAATCTTATTACTTACTGGCTTAGCGAGGTAAAGGAGTACACCGGCCGGGAATCGAACCCTGGAGCATATGCGTGGTCGGCGAGCATTATTCTACCTTTGTGATACTGACGCACGAACACTGGAGATTATCTGTTTTTGACCACAGATGTTTACGATCTCTTTCTCACATTAGGTGGTATAATAAAGTAAGTAATGTTGACGTTAGGCGTAGAGTGTTGGGCAAAGAGGGAAAATCAATCGAAGAGGCTATGAAGTTACATAGATTGAGATGGTTAGGTCACGTGCTGCGCATGCCTAGCCATCGTTTCCCCCGACGGGCATTACTAGCTGATATAGGTGGGGGTTGGAAAAGAGTAAGTGGTGGCCAAACAAAACATGGCATCAATCCATGAAATCCTTGACAGTTAAACTGAGTCAGGTAGGGAGGGAGATGCAGACTTCCGGGTTGGGGCCCGTCCTCTGGACTCTAAGAATCAATGGCTGGAGACATTAGTTGACATGGCTCAAAATCGTTGTCAATGGCTTACGTAGATGTATTCAGTCTCTGTAATCTTTCATATTCCTTTCTACCATTACTCATTCTGTTTCACTCTTACACTTGTCAAAACTCTATTGATTCCCTTCACTCATTTTCCTGTCTACCTTTGTGTACTCTTTGGAACGTGGCAACTGGAACTGCTGCACTTCGGTGCCAAGTTCTATGCTGAATACAGCCAGCCAGTACCCGGTTCGACTAAGCTCAGAGAGCCGAATCAGTTCAAACCACTAACCGATTTCTGGTTATTATTTTGTATCAATTTAGTAGTGTGAATGAGGACGAGTTTAATTTAAGTAAATACTGGAGGAAAATAATTGTATTTCATTAGTAAAAAGTGATACTGAATGATTTTACTACACACAATAATTTCAACTTTTTACATTTCTTTCCCTTTTAGATACCTGTCATTTGTGTGCCTGATGGAAAAAGATGTATATACAGTAACTCTTCACCAGTACTGGTGCCTTTTATCCCATCTGAAGAACCTGACTTATTGCTTGTATACCGTATGAAACCTGCTGATATTTCATTGTGCACAAGTTTTGATGAAGCATCTACAGAGTGTAATACAATGGATCTTCTCAGAATTATAGATATGAATACTGGATATTCACTTCCTATACCGTGTAAAGATCAGTCTCCTAGTAATAATAATAATGATAATAATACTAACCAAACTTCATTTGGTACTCTAACTTTTCCAATGCTCAAAAAGCTCACTTCTCAGTGTCCACAGAATCGTAAGATCTCATCATTTCAGTGTAAAAAAAGATTGCTATATGAATTGAATAATTCTTCTATGGCTGGCAGGCTGGAAAGTTTGAAATTACTTGTTGATCCTCAGGGTGGTTATTCTGTGTGTTATTAATTTGTACATTTAAAAAAGAAATAAATAAATAAATACAGACTTTTGAGATGATGCGTTTCTATTTTTGTTGTTAAAAAACTTCACTAGTTAGTTAAATTAAAAAGCCATATTGCTTGTTGTCATAGCCTTTTATGTGTATGTATGCATCAAGTGTCTAGTGTGTGGAGTGTTCAGTGTATGCATGACGAACCTCACAGAGGGTATTAACTACGCAAGATGTCGTGAATCTGTTGCTCGTTGGTGTCGGTGCTTGACTTCCATCTAGCGGGTCACGGGTTCGAATCCAGCTCAACGCACCACCGAGGTAGTGTGTAACCAGCCCTGAGACAATAGGTGTGGTTCATCATTTCCAGCTGCATGGACTTGTAAGTGATTGTTGAGTAACACTGAGTTGAGCTCAGTTGAAGTTAAGATGCTATATATTTATTCACTCGGATTATACTGTGAATGATGGTTTCTGCTTTTGACAGAAATCACATTTCCTCCAACATTATTATATTACCACAAGTTTCCTGTGTGTGTGTGTGTTTGCTTCCTGGTGCCGTAATTACTGTCAACATTCGTGAACCTCAACAATTTCAAGCGATTTTATTTAAACGCATAAGCAACCAATTTCGTTGTGTGATTTGGCTGGATTCAACATAGAACTTGGCACCGAAGTGCAGCAGTTCGAGTTGCCACGTTCCAAATAGCACACAAAGGTAGACAGGAAAATGAGAGAAGAAAATCAATAGAGTTTTGACAAGTGTAAGAGTGAAACAGAATGAGTAATGGTAGAAAGGAATATGAAAGATTACAGAGACTGAATACATCTGCGTAAGCCATTGACAACGATTTTGAGCTATGTCACCTATTGTCTCCAGCCATTGATTCTTAGAGTCCCGAGGGCGGGCCCCAACCCGGAAGTCTGCATCTCCCTACCTGACTCAGTTTAACTGTCAAAGATTTCATGGATTGATAAAGCCATGTTTTTGTTTGGCCACCACTTACTCTTTTCCAACCTGCACCTATATCAGCTAGTAATGCGCGTCGGGGGAGGCGATGGTTAGGCATGCGCAGCACGTGACCTGGCCATCTCAATCTATGTAACTTTATAGCCTCTTTGATTGATTTTCCCTCTTTGCCCAACACTCTACGCCTAACGTCAACATTACTTACCTTATTATGCTACCTAACGTGAGAAAGAGATCGTAAATATCTGTGGTCAAAGACAGACAACCTTTTCATGTCTTCAACTCGTATTGGCCATGTTTCAGAGCCATAGAGAAGGACGGAGCGAACTGCTGAGCAGTACCCACGTCCCTTGGTTGATAACCGGATGTCACGCCTATGCCAGAGATGATGTAAGTTAGCGAAAGCAGCTCGAGCTTTTTGGATCCTTGCTGAGATTTCGTCACCAATCAATCCGTTGGTGCTGATACTACTTCCCAAATAGGTGAAGTGGTTTTCTACGGATTATGATTGACTGACTGACTAAGTTTCAAAATAGAACTTCGCACAGAAGTGCCCCCCAGTTCAAGTTGCCACACTCCATACAGTACACAAAGGTACAGAAAAAATGATTTAGAAGAATCATAATGAGCAGAAATGTTCAGGGTAAACAATAGTGACATGGAAAAACATGAGGGTTTTGATGGATATGGGTGATAAAAACAAGAGTGAATGCAACTGGGTCATTGAGGATGATTTTCAGCCATATCACCAACAGTCTCGAGCTATTGATTCTTAGCATCTCGAGGACCTCAATCAAGTAGTCTGCACCTCCCCCACATGGCTCAAATCAACTGTTAGTGACTGCGAGGACTGATGTAATGCTCTGAATCAACCACCCATAACTGTTCTCTAACCTGGTCGTATGTCGACTAACATTGTCTGTCGAGGAAAGCGATGGCTTAGCATGTGTCTTAACCTTTTCAAACAATGTATCTTCACAAGCTCAAAATTATTCCTCACTATATTATAACAGTTACTTGCTGTACAGCACATGTGTCTTTTGATCGATAGCAATAAATCACATCTACGCCAGGGATGACATAAGTTGGCTAATGTTACTCTAACGTTTCGTATCCATGTCAAGATTCCGTTAGTCCTTTAGGGCTGATGCGAATTCTTCGATAGGTGAAGTGGTCAACACACTCTACCACTTTCTAAACTAGGGGTTGATGCAGACCAGTCCTGTAGCATCATCTTACATTTGACACGTTGGAGGACAATATAAATCCGCATACTCTAATTCTAAAACACTGTTCCTTGGTAACAATTCAGTCCCTAAATCACTAAAAAAAGATATTATTGTAATATTCAGTTCAGTGGTTAGGTGTGTAATCCTTAGAACTACTGTGGTTTTTGAGAAATACTAAATTACGGTACATAACCGTGTCATATCATCTAAGTTAGCGACCACAGTTGATACGTGAATGGCTGACTGACTTGGATCAGTATTAGGAGTATGTCAGCTACAGAAAGTTTCATCCAATAACTGGTTAAGATGTAAAAAGCTGCTTGTCAATAGATTACATACTATAATTATTATTATTGCTCCCTTGGGTTCCTAGTGGAACTTCAACTACACGTCTCCACTTGCTTCTGTCTTCTGCTGTACTTTTCACCTGCATCCATGTTAATCCATACTGTTTCAATTCCTCTTCGCACGATCTCCTCCATGTCACCCTTGGACGTCCCACTCGCCGCTTCCCTTTCGTGTCCCACTGGAGCATTGGCCTGACGCGCGATGTCACCCAGCGGCCGCCTCAGCGAGTGTCCAATCCATCTCCACTTTCTCCTGCATATTTGTTGGGCGATTGGTTCTTGTTTTGTTTATTCCCATAGTTTCTTGTTGGTGATTCTTTCCGGTGGCCATCTGATCTTCAGTATAGAGCGTAGACAGTTGTTGATAAAGGTTTGCAACAGGCTGTTGGAAATATTCTTTGTGACCCGCCAAGTTTCTGATCCGTATAGAAGAACTGACTTGACGTTTGTATTGCATACATACTATGATAATTCGTTATTAATTCATGGATAATCCCCATTCAGGCATTAATGAAAACAAAACACATTGTTCAGCAAAGAGTCTCTTTTTGGCGAATTCATTTTCTTACCTGTACAGTTGCAAAATATATATGGGTTATTTTGTATGTATGTGTACGTTAGCTTTGTTAAACTAGAATACAACTGGTCATGGTTATTTTAACTAAAGGGGGGATGACAATTAGTAAGTTTTTGGTGGAGTTAAGTAACACAAAAACGGCCAAGAAAATCGGGTGTTAATAAAACTAGGGTAGTAACAAAGGTGGTGAGATGTCACAAACACTTGTCAAAAAAGGAGTTACCTAATGATATGAATAGTTTGATGATTGAGTTGTACTCAGGATACACACAGGAACAAAGTAGAGAATACAAAATTACGTAAGAGTTCTGAATGAATACAAGAATTATCAGCAATTAAAGAAACAGGCAAACAAACGAAATGAAGTCATCAAAAATCAACAAAGTTTATTACCGTGATAATAGAAGTGGTTGAGTAATTCTCTTTTGTATACACAGCTCCAGTTTTTCTATGTGAATGCCTAGAGCTTCAGCAGTACGAAGAAGAGGAAACCGTATTGCCTTTGGTAGACTCTGTAGATTACTTGGAAGCAGGAGGTGTTTGTTGAGATGGAATGGTCAGTGTTAACCAGGTGTTGAATTATCGCACTCCTTATTGCACCACTATTGCCTTTTCGCAACCATGCTGGATAGTGTTCTTGAATCCTTTTGGACAGGGTGCGCGTCGAGCGACCGATGTACCTGGCTCCACATCAGCAGGTGAACTGATATATGCACATAGAAGTCGTCAGATGCGGGATCTTGTTCTTAAGGCTTCTGCAGATCAGTGGGCGACTGGAGAACACTATTCTTAGCGTTGCTTCAGAAAATATTCTTCTAAGAGATGATGTGATCCTTCTCTTGAGAAGGTGGCATAGTGGTTAGGACTCTCGCCGACCATGCACATGGTCCGGGGTTCGATCCCCTGCCGACGCACACCCGGTATCTATGGTCGGCCTGCAAAATTTGGGCTACCGATATCCATGCTGAAATTGCCATACTTGTACTGAAAATACGGTGAGGCACCAAGCTGTAACCAAAAATAAATAAAAAAAAATAAATAAATATCGCTTCCTAAATCTCCCTTGACGGGCAGTGTTAGCTGATACAGGGTCAGGCTGGAAAAGAGCTAGCAGCGGTCAAACCAAAACACGGCGCTAGTCAATGAAATCTACAACAGTTAGTCTAACCCACGTAGGAAGGTGTAGACTTCCTGGTTGGGGTCCTTGGGACGGTAAAAACCAATGGTTGGAAACAATTGGTGACATAGCTCAAGATCGTTCTCAGTGGCGCAGATGCATCCACTCCTTGTGACTTATGATTTCCAATTAAACTGTTTTGTTCTTCGTTATTACTATTCCTCTGTCTCACATCTCTGTTTACTGTCATTATTATGCATTTCTCCTACTTTCTTCTCTTGCTTTGTGTGCTACAAGGAGGGAGTGTGGCGACTTGAACTGCCGCACATTTGTGCAAAGTTCTATGTCGAAAACAGACATACAAATCTCCCTTGAAATCCAGGTTCATGTAGAGTTTGTTTTTCAGCGCAAGTGAAGTTTCATTGCTCCAAATTTTTAGTTTGATATTTTTGTCAATGAATCTTGATGGGTATCCATTTTCGATGAAGACTTCTTTCAAAAGATCTAATTCTGTTTCTAGAACATCGGGATTACAGATGCGTCGGAGAGGAGGGTAGCAAGGGATTGAATTAAATTCTGCTACTTGGTTGGAATGGTCAACTAACACGCTTCTATTGCTGGATACCCATTCAACAAGGATCATCACATCATCTCTTTAGTTCCACCAGTGGGACGCAAGGCTTCAGCAGCGTGTCCGTATTTCACTTTGTTCTCCGCAGTATTTTCTAGCTGACTCCACATTCGTTCGTAAGCTTTCATTTCCTCTTGACTCAAGTATCTACTACATATCTGTTTACCACACTATGTGTCATACATACATTGTATGCGATAGTCAATGATAATATATTCAGTTAATCATGCGGAAACAAATACCATATATGTCATATTACTTAGTAATTGTGAGTGCTTCAATCACCTAATTAGAGTATCACCAACTCATATAATTTTCAAGTATTGGTTTGTAGAGATTTGGTTGATTGGTCACAGGATTTCATCATGACCTGACATTGGTTAGAGAACCATTGGAAAACCTGGGAGTAATTAATGTTATGAACGACATTAATGTTTAAATAACGTCGAATCAATTACAATATCAGTAGATTACAGCTGAATAGCAATCAACATAAAAATAAGCTGAATGTCAGACGAATTAGGAAAGCTAACATTACAAATTCATGAGTTTATAGTTTCTACTGAGGGCTAGGGCAGTAGTAGAGGCTGGACTTGTTTCTTTTGGACACAGAGCACTGGTTGTTTGAGGCAAATTGCAATAGCCTCTGCTGTTTGGAGCATGCGAAGCATGGGCATTTTTAATCAGTTAAAACCTTTTTGCTTTTGTTTATTTACAGACAATGATACACCACACCAGTGTGTATGTTCTCTTGATTATTCTTCATTCCCGATTATACTGTTGCATAGTCTTCCATTGAAGGTGCAACGTTTAATAGCCAATCGATTAAGTCGTGCTAGTCTACCTCAGTTTGTTTTAACTACTCATGAAGGAGGTCAGTGGTCATTGGTTCAGTTAACTATTAGTCATGCAAAACCGACAACATCATCATCATCAGCATCGTCGAATGAATTTCAGAACAATGATTCAATTCAGGTTGATTCCAGTAAAGCGAAACCATTGAAAGAAGTCAATAATAAAGAGTAGGTGGTATTGCTGTAGTGTTTTTGTTTTTATCGTTATATATTCCTTTTGATGATTTAAGTTATTGCACTTAGTTTATAGCTTTTAAAGATATTGGCATAAGAGAGTAGTGTAGCATTATTAGAAGACGGAGATTATCTGAAAAGTTATGTGATGTATTTGCGCTATACATTTTGAACAATCTGATCCCGCACACATTTACTTGTCAAGTCGATATATTTATGAAAAAAATTAAGGGCAATTTAATTAAACAAAGTGACAAAAAGAAAAGATTTAAGAATAATTAACGCAACGTTTCGTAGTTGATATGTAGTCACATGATGTCTGCCTTTGTTTTTGACAGTCTGATATATTTTGCTATGGGTATATTGATCGATATTCCATTATAACTCACAATATGCTTGGGGTCTGTCCATTAACTAAATAAACAATGTATGACCTTTTTGATGTGGTTGTGTTCTCTGAGCTAGCTGGATAGTTAATTTGCGAAGCTTTCATCACCCTACTAGGTGACATCTTCAGTGCATACTTCAATTTGAAGTGAGCTTTTAGATTTCTCCACGAGTTTATTAATCATCTCTCCTGGTCGGTGACCTTGGACGTGATTGGTTGTTTTTGTGTTTTCACACCTTCTAGGCTACTTGTATTGGAACTGATTGTTTCTTTGACTTGAACTTTGACCCTTTGTGTGTGTGGGGTTTCTTTCTTATCGGTTGATAAATTTTGTCAATCTCGATGTGTCTATTGATTGATGATTCACTGGAATGCCAAGCTTCTAAAAATTCTCTAGTATTTTTGTTGTTTCCTCTGTCTAATATTTGAACATTGTCCCAATCGAATTGATGACCGTGGTTATCTGTATGTAGTGATATGAGTGATGGAGTGGATGTCATGTCTTTTGACAGCTAGCTTATGTTCGTGGATACGAAGACGAAGGGGACGTCCACTTTGGCCAATGTAGTGTTTTTCGCAGTTGTTACAATTTATTTTGTAGATGATGTTGGTTTTATCTTCTTTCGCTGTCGAGTCTTTTGGTTGATATAGAACTGAGTGAAGTGATTTTGTTGGTTTGTGTGCGACGTCAATTCCTGAAGGGTTGACGAGTCTTGCAGTGATTTTTGATATATCCTTTATATATGACAGGGCGACTTTCTTTGTGCTTTTCTTTGGGGCTTTTGGTTTGATAGGTTGGCTTGGGGGTATATGTCTTTTGATGAAATTCCGTGGATATCCATTCTTTTGGAAGACGTCCATGAGATATATTTCTTCAATTTTCCTTAAGGTGGGAGTACTGCAATGAGTCCTGGCTGGCCCTCTTGAATAGTGTTTGTATGCAATTCCTTGTGTGTGTTGTTGGATTGCTGCTGTTGTAATTCCATATTTGATCTGTGTAAGTTGATTTTCTGTAAACTGGGGTTTCTAATTCACTCACACTTTGTGTGACAGTTATTTCCCTTGTGGAAAATACACGTTTCATCGTAAACGTGGTGGTCTTCTGATTTCCTTCTTCGCATCAGGACAAATTAACTACTCAGCAATGCCAGTCTGTTGTACGTTATCGTCCGTTTTATTGCATTAGCGTATATTTACACTCGGTCACACCCTAATATCGGCAATGACCCCATAACATATTGACGACGAGTACATAACAGTAGTCCAATCAAATAAGGACGGGGGGGTGAAGTTTAAGTTTATGAATAGCTGTAGCCTCAGCGTATTTCAATAAGCGCCCTTGACCATTTTTATAGATGACCTTAAAGGCTGAGTTAACACCAATCTTATGGTTCATCTCGATTAGATGTTTAGCTATAGACGAAGTTGGTAGTCTGACACCTGCATCTATTGGTTTTCCACAATTCATTTGTTTTTCTAACCATTTCGGGATATGCTCTCCCACCCTCACACACAAAGCACGATTACTCCTTTCTATGCATGTGTGACCACACACACACAGGGAAATTGGTAAATAGTGTGGGGTGTGACATAATACGCTGAGGCTATAGCTATTCATAAACTTAAGCCCCTCCCCTGTGTATTCAAAAACAGTTTATTATTACTCTTAACCTACCTTGGTAATCCTTATTTGATTGGACTACGAAACGTTGTGTTAATCATTCTTAAATCTTTTTTTTACGAGTTGATCACGGATTGATATCAGCTAGAAAACCATTGAAAGCCATAGAACTCCAGGAAACTCCATCCTGTAGCAAGTCACTAGCGAGCATCAGATTATTTTCTATAGTTTGGTTTGTAAGGGTTAGTTTTGTTTTTACGAAAATTAGAGAATTAATCTGATGCACGCCAGTGACTTGCTACAGGATGGAATTTCCTGGAGTTCTAGTGAGAAGTCGTGACCAATGATGTCACGTGTGAGGATGGATGAACCACCTACGACAATGGTTGGGGTCGCGCTAAATCACGAACTGGTAGAAGTAAGAATTCATGCAATGGTCGTTGAATCAGTTCCCAGTGGCTGAATAGTAAACAAGCTTGCCTTGTAACCGTAAGGCCCTGGGTTCGAGTCCCCAGTGGGTGGGTACTACAGATGATTCCTAAACTAGGATGAAACAGCTGTCCAGTACTCCATGGTTTTCAATGGTTCTCTAGCTGTTATCAATCCGTGATCAACTCGTAAAAACAAAACTAACCCTTACAGACCAAACTATAGAAATTTTTTTGTCACTTTGTTTAATTAAATTGCCCTTAATTTTTTCATATATATATCGACTTGACAAGTAAATGTGTGCGGGATCAGATTGTTCGGAATGTATAGCGCAAATACATCACATAACTTTTCAGATAATCTCCGTCTTCTAATAATGCTATCCAAATTTATAAAAGGGACTAATTGTTTTAAATAAGACAGTATATAAACTAAGCTATATAACCAAGATCCTACTGCCGAATAAATGTGCAGAAACAAATAGAGGTGGATTGGAAATACACTGAGACGACAGTTGAGTGACATCATACGCCAGGTTATCGGGTTGGGAGGCAAATAGGAAACGGCGATTTGGGTGTGGATCCGAGGGTGACATACAGGGGATCATGTTAGGAGAGGAGATAAGAGTTTATGGGCAATCAATCGTGGAGTCAGCTAAAGACGACTGAAGAGAACCGGCTGGAATGGAGGTGTGCTGTTGAAGCCCCCTATGTTCCACTAGGCATCCAAGGGAAGAATATATTAAGAATAATTTCACTATTTTCACCAATCTATAGAGGTTTTATGGTAAAGGAAACTTATTGGGATAACTTTGATTTTCCCCCTTGGTTAATTTTACTGAACTGAAATGTTCAGTTGCTGTTGATATGTTGGCTCCTAGGATAGACGCTTAGTCGGCACCTTGACGTTAACACTATGTGTTGGCTATCATCAACCAAACAGCGTCGTTGTTTAGCAGTTTTTGTTGTGGGTTTTCGGCAGACAACACTGGAATCCCAATTATTTTTATTTCGTCTAATTCGATATTGTTTTGGTAGCAGAAATTGACTTGCAGTCTAGTTTTTCTAATTTTAATTCTTCTTTCATTCTACACTCGATTCGATGTGTATTATTCTAAATGCCCTTCCGTCAGTCATGGCCACCATCATGGTGCGCTCTGAATTATCGTTAAGTAGTTGAGGTCAATCGGTAGGAAGCCCTGCAGGGTAGGTTTCTTGGTTGTTGGTACTCGTTAGTAGGGCGTATCTGCCATCTTAAAGGAACTCATGTCGCTTCTGAAACTTGAATTCGGGTCATCTAGAATTCAATCTACACCAACACCAAGAATTAGACGCCTGACATTGGTAGCTTCCCTAGTGTTCAATCAAAGTATTCACTACATGAGGTCAGTCGAAAGCATGAATAGATCAGTAGCAGCCCTGGGTAACCTGGGTTCATATCTCAGAAGGGATATAGATTCCTTCAAGATTGCAGATACGCCTTACTGACGAGTGCCAACAATCATGAAACCTAGGTCCAAGACTTCCTGCCGATTTCCTCCAAGTATCTAACAAATATGTCTATATATATATATATATATATATATTCCTTCACGTTCCCAGTGGAACATAGGGCTTCAAGCTAGAGGTTTGAAGTTTCCGTAGCAGTGTTTATTTTTACAGGATGAAGTAGTTAGCCTCATGCCCAACCTTTCCTCTTTACCAGCTTTTTATTTCTGGGTTAGCTAGGTAAAGGAGTGCGTTGGCCTGGGATCGAATCCCGGACCATGTGCATTGTTGGCGAGCGTCCTAACCGCTGTGCCACCGACATATATATATATATGTTTGGTGTTTTCAAGTGTAATAACGTGTTGTGATCAATGTTTACCTTGAAATCAGCTTTCCACATATTTAGGGTTGTATTTGTGGTGTTTTCGTATTGTGTGTCGGTCAACATATATCTTGTTGCTTTGTGGTGGGAACTGTCTGCTAGCCAAAATTGCTAGACAGCAATTTACGTCTCTCCGTGCGTCGGTGACACAGTGGTTAGGACTCTCGCTGACCATGCACATGGTCCGGGGTTCGATCCCCTGCCGGCGCACACACGATATCTATGGTCGGCCTGAATCTGGGCTACCAATATTCATGCTGAAAATTCCACACTTGTACTGAAAATACGGTGTGGAATCAAGCTGTAAATCAAAATCAAAAATGTTTACGTTCCAAATCGTGGTCATGAGGAAAAAAAGAACAAAGACTTTGCGTGGGCGGATACAATTCGCAGATAGATGATCTGACCATCAAAGAAACGGCCACAAAGAAATGATAGATTAACTTTCAGCGAGAAAACAACCAATCAGAAGACTCAGTTTGTCTGCTAACAATAACCTATAATAATGTACATAAAAATATATAAATATGTGTTGATTTCCTTAATAAACAATCTGTTGCCTAACCCTTGTCTTCTGTCGTTACAGTATCCCTGCATCAGTTTTGTTTTGCCTATACGAGCTATTATCATTAATATATATATATATATATCACTGTTTATTTGTATTATTTTAAAGATATAATTCAGTGTATATATGATATTTCAGATTCGAATCGTCTCCATCCCCAGATTGGATTTTATCAATTCACCTGAACATAGATCCGTATACTACGGCTTATTTTTCTGATTCTTGTGTACAATTCAAGTTAAAAGCCAAAGATGCAGATAAAAATTGTTGGTATTGTCCATTTTGTTCAGCTGTTTACAATATCAGTAAGTTGTTTAGTGGATAATAAAGATGTTGTACTCTTCTTTCTACCCTAGAACATTGCAAATGTATTCCTTGAGTAATTCTAAAAAAATTATGTAAAGGGGTTGATTTGAAGAATGTAGAATGCTCTGCAACCATGCCTCACATTGTCCAAGTTCGACTCTCAGCCGATGCACTCCTAAAGCCACACCTAGCTTGTTGGTAGTAAGGTACGTAAAGGGGAGAAAAGTTGGAGGTGAGGCTAGCGACCCCACTGCGTAGGAGAAACAACATCCGTACCCCTGAAAATTCAAAGCCGAAGCTTTAAGCTCGACGTTCCACTTGGAACGTACAGGAATATATATATATATATATATATATATATATCAATTTTCGTCCTTCTCCCAACCAGGCACCTATGGCTTATAGGAGTTAGCCATACCAGACCAAACTTTGTTAGCTGGATTTAAATTTCTGCTATGTAACAAAAAGTCAACCTATGTGCACATTATAACACCTATGCTGCTGATTATAAAGTATAACTTACACAACTCACCCAACAGTTGTACGACAATGCTGTGCGCCAAGTAATCCACAACGGGAAACTCACGGAATCCTTCGAAGTGAAGGCGGGAGTAAGACAAGCTGGCTGCCTACTACCTCCAATGATTTTCCTGATTGCGGTAGACTGGATAATGTGACAGACAGTTAGCGGGCAGCTAGGAAACAGGTATTAAATGGACCCACACAAAAAACTTGGAGGATCTGAACTTCGCCGATGATATATGTCTGATTTCTCAGTGAAAAGTAACAAGTTAGCAGAAGAAGCATCCAGAGAAGATAGGAGTTCAGGTGAACATAGAGAAAACAGATGTGGTGATGAAAATTCCTGGCTAACAGCCACAACAAACAATAATCAGCATAAATGGGAGAAATCTGAAAGAAGCAACCTCTTTTAACTACCTACCTACTTACTTACGTACCTAGGAAGCATCGTTTCAACTAAAGGCGAACGGATTTGATGAGGATATCAAAGCGAGGATCGGGAAAGTAAGACAAGCTTTTATTTCTCTTAAGTCTGTGTGGAGGTCAACAGCACTCAGCATGAAAAACAAGATCCGGATTTTCAACTCCAATGTGAAGTCACTGACACTTACTATACGGATCAGAGACTTGCACTGCGCCTCACGAAGGCCACTTCGAACAAACTAAAGACCTTCATCAACAGCTGTCTTCGCTCAGTACTACTCAAGATCTTGGTGTGGTTGTGTTCTCTGAGCTGGATGGTTTGGTTGCGAAGCTTTCATTGCTCTACTGAGCAACAACATGCGCAAGATGTTGCTCAGTAGAGCAATGAAAGCTTCGCAACCAAACCATCCAGCTCAGAGAACACAACCACACCAAAATCATCCACCTGAGCTACAAATCTTCTTTATTATATCTAACTGCTCAAGATCAGATGGCCGACCAGAAAAGATCAATAACAGAGATCTTTGACATTGAGCGAACCGAACCAACAGGAACCGACTGTGCAACAAATAAGCAGTAAGAAATGGAGGTTGATCGATCGGCCATACTCTGAGAAAGCCACCTAGTGACATCACACTCCAGGCCATCACTCGAGTGGAACTCGAACGAGAAGCGGCGAGTTGGTCGTCAGTGTGAGGGTGGGGTGACATGGAGGAGGTCATGTGAAGAGGAGATGAAAGCATGTGGGCAGACGTGGAGCCAGGTGAAAACGTTGACAGAGAACCGAACGCAATGGAGACGTGCGGCTGATGCCCTATGTTCCTCTAGGAACTAAAGAAAAAACAATAATAATAACAAATAAATAATCTCATAATATTTAAGAAAAAAAATTAATGAATCGGTCTTACAAAATGGAAGATTTTGTTTTATAGATGAGTGAATAAGTGTGACTTCCAACTGTCAAGGGTAACATTTTTGATTGCGGTGGACACTGAATCATGCAATATGCTATGCTTGGAGAGCAAGACGGTGGGAATACGTTGGGCCTATAAGAAGACTCTAGAAGATTTGAACTTCGCGGATGGTTTCTGTCTCATATCACACAAACTCAAAGATCTACAGGCGAAAACTAACAATGTTGGCACAAGAGGCAGCTAAAACAGAAATTCAAGTGAACATAGAAAAGACTATGGTGGTGAAGATACCTTACCGACAATAACAAGCACCAATCACTCACTATTAACGGGAGAAATGTAAAGGAGGTCAACTCTTTTACATATCTAGACAGCATCGTTTCCACTACAGACGTTATAGATGAGGACTTCAAAGGTAGGATCGGAAAAGTAAGACTGATCAGAAATCAGTGTAGAGGTCAACTGTACTCAGCATATAGGGAACAAGATTCTGATTTTCAACACTGACGTTGAGTCAGTGTTTCTGTGTGGTTCAGAGATATGGAATAGGTGTCATGGAAAGCATTTATCAACAACTGCCTTCGCTCAGTACTCAACATCAAATAGTTGGCTGGAAAGATAAGTAAAAAGTGCCTGTGACAACGAACCAAGCAAGATCCTGTCGCTCAAAGAATATGAGGAACGGAAATGGAGATGGATTGGAAATACTTCCTAGGAGACTGTTGAATGATATGATGATGCGCCAGGCGCTCAAGTGGAACTCGGATTGAAAACGACAAGTTGGCTGTGGTTCCAGGGATGACTTGGGGGTGATCGTGTCGAGAAGGAAGCGAAGGCTTGTTAATAATTGTGGAACCAATCCAATAAAGGACTGCAGGAAACCGGATGATAATATAATATAATATAATATAATGATATGCCACTGAAGCCCTATATTCCATTCGTCACCAGAGGAAAGAATAATAATAATAATAACTAAATTGGGATTAGCAAGAAAAATGTAAAGAAATGAAAGTGAGAAGTAATAATACCGATATGAAAAAAGCCGTGGAAGTGTAATGTTGGAGTGAAAATCAGAGATCTAAATTATCTGCCTTCTCGAAAGAGAAATCAGATTAAGTTTGATGGATTGTCAAGGTTTTTGTAAAATGTAATTAATGAGTTTGTGTACACTCTTCAAACAGATGAACAAGACTTAAAAGTTTACTCTGTCTTTCTGTCTATCTGTCTGTTTTCGACATAGAACTTTGCACCGATGTGCAGCAGTTCAAGTCGCCACACCCCATGTAGCACACAAAGCAAGAGAAGAAAGTAAGAGAAATGCATAATAGTGACAGTAAACAGGGATATGAGACAAAAGGAATAGTAATAACGAAGAACTATATAGTTTCATTGGGTATTATAAGTCACAAGGAGTAGATACATCTGCTCTAGACATTGAGAACGATTTTTAGCCATATCACCGATTGTTTCCAGTCGTCATTAATTTTTACCGTCCCGAGGACCCCAATCAGCCAGGAAGTCTACGCCTTCCTATGTGGCTTAAACTGAATTACTTACCTTTTTTAGTAAATTAGCTTAGTCACCTCTCTTTTTGTGTTACCCGCCTATAATTCAATAGTTTATAGATACAATATAATACATATTGAATTCAAATTTTAGATATAAAAACAATTTCCATTAGAATTTATATCAAATGATTTCGCTACATTTCTTCAAAATGATTTTTAAACAAAAACAACAACAAAAAAAAGGTGTTTAACATACATTTCAGATGTTGGCGATGATGTAAATATCCTAAAACGACATATGCGTCTACATGTTGAACTTCGTTGTTGTATGGATTGTGCAACTCTACTACCGAATAGTACATTTTCAGGGAATTCTGAGACATCAGAACATGTACATAAATGCAGTGAATTAATAAGCTCTCAAACAAAAGATGATCCACAGTCATTGTCTTTTAATAATACTAGTCATGTTTCAACTTCATCTTATGAAACAATGGATCTTCCCATACCAAGTGAGTTCTTTTTTCTTTTTCATGGATTCTTTGATAATGTTTTTTTCCTTCACGTTCCCCAGTGAACATAGGGCTTCAAGCTTGTGGCTTGAATTTTCTGTAGCAGTGTTTATTTTGCAGGATAGGGTTGCTAGCCTCATGCCCAACCTTTCCTCTTCACCAGCATTATTTCTGGCTTAGCGAGGTAAAGGAGTGTGTCGGCCGGGGATCGAACGGTGGACCATGTGCATGGTCGGCGAGCGTCCTAACCGCTATGCAACCGACGCACTATATTTGATAATGTACAAGATAAAATAGGTAAAATAATGATCTGTTTTATTCTAAAAAACAGTATTTATAATACAGCATGGAATTCTCAGCATTTGTCACGATATTGCATCTAATTTACTCAAAATACAAATAAAATTAACCACAGGAATTTGTTCACATTTACGGTAGGAGTAAAGTCGAAAATGTGCGGAGTACACAAGGAACATAATAACTATAATGATAATAATAATAATGGTAATAATAATAACAACAGTGAGTTTGTTTCAAACAGTATTGTCGATACAGTTTGGAAATTTTAGCGTGTTATACAGTATTGAGCCTAATGTTCTCTTGACATATCACAGTGAGGGGAAAACAAAGAATAACAGTTTTTACAGAGCTTAAATGACATCCACACTAATGAAAACATAAAGAAAACAAGAAAATGAGAGGATTGTAAATGTAGGAAGAATAATAGTAGTAAAGCTTGATGGAATAAGGATGGAGAAAATGGTTTATTTATTAGTGGTAAGAAAGTCAGTTAGTCAGTTCATCCGTGACACTCTTTTCATCACGTAAATAAGTGCGAAATATGGTACCGTGGAATTTTTATACTTATACGTGCGTGCATAAAGTCTTTTGAAATGACCTCTCGAATCACGTGATGAGACACAAGGTGAAAGTTGTGAGTAAAGTGGATGCTCACAATCTGAAAAAAAATTCCTCCAACAGATTTGTTGCATGAAATCAAGCGCCTATCAATGATGATGTCAATGATGTGGCCCAATGGGATACCACTCGCCCTACTGACAGTCTTCAGAGTTCTACGAAGTGTGACATAGTCTTTTTTAAGCAGTTCAGGAAAGAATAAGGGTGAAGAGTAGAGGAGAATAGGTAAGGTGCAAGAGATGACAAACTGTAAGAGGAGGGGTTGAGTTATGCCTGAGTACCTTAACTTCGTAATGTAAAACGTCAGACAAGATATTTTTTCGAAATCAATAAGACGTGTGGAGACCAGGATAGATCAGAAGATGGAAATAGTCCTAGATATTTAACGTCTGACTTGATTTCTGTATCACTATCATAAATTTTACGACGGTCATTCCGATGACCGTTGGAAAATTGAAAATTAATTATGTTTTCTAGTGATCGTATGTAATCTAGTTTTAAAACAAACTGAGTTCCAAATAGGCTTGATAGTAAAATCAATGACTTCAACATTGAATAATATGATTTGGAGTTATGAAATTTTTGTAGATTCTCTTTGCTCATGATATACTTTTGAAGCGACTTCAAAGTATACTACTTATATTGTTTAAAGTGTATGTGCAATAAACATGAAAATAAATTTACTCTGCATAATGTGAACTCAAAGTCCACGTAATTCTAGGGGTAATTTTTTGTAAAGAGATCAATAAAATATATCACGATTTGTTTTTAGGGTTTTTAAGTAATCCTCTTTGTAGTGATCGCATATGTGAATAATTTTATTTATGTATAAATCGTGGATTATCACATTACTATTATTGAACAGATGCATTAATTAATTATGTTACCTATGTGAATCTCTTTAGATAGTGTGATAATCTACGCTGAGAGATAAGCTTAGTTTTTGGTATAAGGAGAAGTATTTGTGACTTCAGTCCTATACTGTATGTTTTAGCTGACATGGGGTTGGGCTGGAAAGGAGTTAGGCCTGGTCAAACCAAAACCTGTCATCAGTCTGTCAAGTCTTTGACAGTCCAGCTTTAATCAACTACGTAGGGAGGTGAACACTGCCTCACTGGGGTCCACTGTCGGTGATATGTCACGAAGGTTTTCTCGATGGGTCAGATGCATTCACTCTGTGCGATCTGCCGAATCCATTTAACCTTCACGTTTTCCATGTTTCTTGTTTTTCCTCGTACATTTCTGCTCATTATAGTTGTTTCGAATCTCTTTTTCTCTCTCTCACTTTTCTCTACCTTTTTGTTCTATATGGAGTGTGACGGCTTGGAATGGTGCACTTCTGTGCAAATTTCTCTTTTTGGAACTCACTGACATAAATATGTTCTCGCTGGAGTTATAGCTAGATTGACGTAGATTTTGCACAAAAGTTCACCATTTTAAATCATCAAATTATCTGAATAGCCACCCCATGTAAAAGAAAACAGCATAAATGGATTGACGTTAAGCTAAAAATGACAGATAGATGGAAGATTATAATTTTAATCGGGCTTTCCGATATTTTAGGGATGGTACGTTATTCCATACGTTTTTCAACCATTTCAATAATAAAGGTCTTTATCAGATGTGAATGACGTACTGGTCTGCATTGAATTCCAGTTTAAAAATAAGTAATAAAACTGTTGAATTTGTTAGCCAAACCGAATAAAAAGTTGTATCATCTCTATGGTACTGGAGGATCTGGACTTGGCCGATGATATATGTCTGATTTCCCACAAACTGGAAGATATTCAAGCGAAAAGCAACAATTTGGCAGAAGAAGCATCCAGAGAAGATAGGACTTCAGGTGAACATGGAGAAAACAGAGGTTAGGCAACAACACCACCACCAACAACAGACAACAATCAGCATAAATGGAAAGAACCTGAAAGAAACAACCTCTTTTACCTACCTGGGAAGCATCGTTCCAACTACAGGCGGAACTGACGAGGATTTCAAAGAGAGGATCGGGAAAGCAAGACAAGCTTTCACTACTCTCAAGTCTGTGTGGAGGTCAACAGCACTCAGTATCAAAAATAAGATCCGGATTTTCAACTCCAATGTGAAGTCAGTGCTACTCACTATACGGATCAGGGACTTGGCGCTTCATAAAGAGCATCTCAAACAAAATACAGAGCTTCATTAACAGCTGTCTTCGCTCAATACTCAAGATCAGATGGCCGGACAGAAAAGATCAGCAACAGACAGGGATCTCTGTGAGCGAACCAACCAGGAACCGATTGTGCAACAAATAAGCAGGAAGAAATGGAGATGGATTGGCTGGCCGTACTCTGAGGAAACCATCAAGTGACATCACTAGACAAGCCATTGCTCGAGTGGAACCCGAAAGGGAAGCGGCGAGTTGGTCGTCAGTTTGAGGGTGGGGTGACTTGGAGAAGGTCATGTGAAGAAGAGATGAAAGCGTGTAGGCAGACTTGGAGCCAGGTGAAGACTCTAGGAGAGAACCGAACGCAATGGAGACGCACAGCTGAAGCCTTATGTTCCTCTAGGAAGTAAAGGAAACAATAATAATAATAATTATGGTATGGGCTGATGATGAAATCGCAACAGAAATACATAAAGCCCCTTTGATATTTTTTGACTTGTGTCACTTTTGACACAGATGTGATTTCTAGTCAAAAACATGAAAGGATATGCGTGCTGTGCAGAAGTGTACATCTTTGCACTGTAACTGCTGAGATGCCTTCGTTTAGTTCCTTGTGTTGGATGAGAATATTTAGTGTTGTTGTAGTGTTAAGTTTGCAGGTAAAGTTAGTAGATACGGTCGTAAAGTTCGATCGATAAAGTTGGCTAGGATATGTGTGACATCTATTGATGTGCTATTTCCTTCAATGAGCAATGTTAGTTGAAATTTATTTAATATTAATAAGAGCTAGGCGGGGGTCGGGTGGAAATGACAACATGGCATCAATCTCTGAAGTCGTTAACTGTTGTTCTAAGGGATACAAGAAGGTTTGAATTACTTGGATGTGGTTTTCTTGCTGTTAGAAATGAGTAGTTAGTGACTTTGGTGATATGGCTTGAAATAGTTCACAGTGGTGTGTGTATATATTCACTTTTTTACTAATCCATATTCTAAAAATCCTCACCAATCTCTCCCCTGTATGTCTCCGTTCAATGTGGTTTCATTACGTTAATTTTTCTCTACTTTTGCATGTTCTCCTTCGCAGTGCTTTTGATTTTGAGCTGCAGCTAACTTTTATGTTGCTAAATTAGTCAGTTGGGTGCTAAAAGGTATTAGATACTACAATTCCATCGTCGTAAATAGCTGACTTGTGGTTGTTACATGACTCAGACTACATAAGTGTTATTTAAAAAACCATCTTGTAAAATTTTTGTACTCATTTTATTACTGTGGAGCCGTGACCAGTAGAGTACAGTAGGTTGAAGATGAGGCAGTAACGAATCGAAGAAGACATTGCGAAATGGTTGCGCGATGTCGTAAATTGGCAGAAGTTATCATTCAATGACCATTAGATAGGGTCTCAGTGGCTCAATAGTCTACGAGCTCGCCTTCTAACCAGAAGGTCCTGGGTCCGAACACTGGCGGTGGGTGTGTACTACTGAAGAGCCCCAACTAGGACTAAGGAAACGGCTGTCCAGTACTCCCTGGAAGGTTTTGCAATGGTTCTCTAAATGATGTCAGCTCATGATGAAATCCTCCATGCAATCATATATATCTTGATAAACTGTTCGACTTGTTTGAATGAGGAAAATAAATCAATTCCTTCATTATGAATTCACGTTGAATCGTACTAATTAATTGTCAACATCATTGTAATCATGTAGATTCAATTGGCTAATCTGTCGACTGGTTCCTGATTTCGATAGTTTTTTTCTATTTGATTTCGTTGTATGACTATTGCACTGATACTAAATGATTGTTTTTGTACATCCCCATAGGTTGTAGCAAGTCATTACCAACAGGTCCTTGTACGAGCCGTACGAGTATAAAACACCATGTCAATAGTGAAACATGCGACCTTGATAGATTTCAAGTGTATCATTGTGACAACAAAGAAACTCGGTTTCAGAAGCATGATATCCCCTCAAAGTCAGTTACTTTAAATTCTTCCTCAGCAGATAGTAGTGAAAGAAACTGGCGACGTTTTTGTACAGTATGTTTATTGTTTATTCAGTTGTTTTTTTTTCTGACGTAATATTTAGATTGTTGTAACTGTTCATGATTATTTAATTGAATTTTAGATTTTCCTGTGTATTGATTGGACCAAAGTACTCGGTCTCAGGTTGACGTGTCAAGTTCTTATGCATATGCTTCAACGATGTCTGAGCTTGTCGTTAGAAGTTAATTGGTGAATGGTGATTAGCAGTGGAATCCAGAATGCGCATTTCGTCCTATTTGGGACGCTTTGGCGTTTGAAACTATGCGCACTGGGTTCGAGCCCTGGTGGGAACATCATAACTCACTGCGGAATGCAGGTACATTCAGGACGAAATGAGTATCCTGGATTCCGCTGCTGGTCACCATCCACCAATATATTCATGATTTTCAAATGGTAGAATTGATTACCGACAGCTTGTTAAAAAGAACCACTACTCAGATGTACACTTCTTGTACAATTCATATTCAAAGATGTTATTTACAGACAACAAGACGGGATCGCAATGGGCTCTCCACTGGGCCCATTGCTAGCAGACTGCTTTATGGTAAACCTCGAGAATGGCCAAGTCAAATCAACTATCGACAATTTCCAATTGTATGCTAGATATGTGGATGACATCTTTATTATCTGTGATGATGGTCAAGGTCTTATTCAGTTACTACAAATATTCAACAACTGCCATTCAGCTGCAAAGTTTTACTCTTGAAATAGAAAACGGATCTAGAATTCCTTGTCTTGACGTTGAACTTACCAGAAGAACTGACGGAACTTTAAGATGGTCCATCCATATGAAACCCACATTGAACGGCCAGCTGATAAGCTTCTACAGCTGGTTACCAATCAGTCGAAAAAGGAACCTAATTAGATCTCATGCAACTCGCGTCCAACGCCTCTGCAGCTCTGATACCCTGCAAGAAGAACCACAATTCCTGGAAGAAACCTTCATACAAAACGGATATCTACCCAGATTCATAGACAGAAGCACTAAACAGAAAATCCAGAAGCAAGAGACGCAATCCGTACCAAAAATGATACTTTATATGAACCTTGATTTCAAAGCTGACCTACTCAGTTATTTCTTTAGGAAGAGAATTTCCACTTCCTCAAGAAGAACTTTCTTCGCGGAAACACTGAGAGTAGTGTTCTCCAGTCGCCCGCTGATCTGCAGAGACCCGAAGGACAAGATCTGCCACCTGACCACTTCTATGCGCATATATCAGTTCACCTGTTGCTGTGGAGCCAGGTACATCGGTCGTTTGGCGTCCTGATAAAAGGATCCTGTCTAAAGGGGTCAAAAAACACTATTCAGTGTGGCTGCAGAAAGGAAGTAGTGGTCGTATTGGGAGTGCGATAATCGAACATCTCGTCAACACTGGTCATTCCATCTCAACAAACGCCTCCTTCAAAGCAATCTACAAAGTGAAGAACAACCTGCCAAAGACAATACGTTTCCGTCTTCTCTGCATTGCAGAAGACCTAATCGCTCAGCTAGAGGAACCAGAGCTATGCATACAAAAGAAAATTATTCAGTCACTTCTACTATCACGATAACAACTCTGATGATTTGTCTTAGCTTTTGCTTGTTTGCATGTCTTTCAAAACTCTTACGTAATTCCGTATTTGATCTTATTTCATTTCCAAGTACACACTGAGCACAACACATTCATCAACTCATCACTTTTCATACTACCCTCTAACGTAAGCATACAATTCATCTGAAAGCAGTTTGTATTGCGTAACTACACCAAAAGCTTACTAATCCTATTTTCGTTTGACAAATTTAGTGTAGACACATATACAAAACAACCATATACATTTACGAATGTACAGCTGTGAAAATGAATTCACCGAAGAGAGACTCTCCCCTGAACTACTGGTCTTCTCTCCTTTAAAGTTGATTTTCTCACGATGCAGTATTGATAATGATTTGTAGATGGGATTCAAAAGACTTCCATTTAAATATTCCGGTGCAACTTAATCCTTGATTGTTGATAATAATTTTTCATGGGATTTTTTGAGACAGTAATAAAACGTGAATTAGGGGCTTGTAAATTAAGAGCTGTCTGGTTCTATAATAAACCTGTAGGACTTGATTTTTGTCAATGAGTATGATGTCGAGCTATTAGTTTGTCGCAGCATTAATAAAAGTAACATCTAACTGTGCTTTAGAAGGGTTTCTCTGAGGTTATACTAATCCTGTATGTTTCTGCATCCAATCGGCAATTCATTTATTTTCTATGTTGTATACATATATTTTTTCGGTCTACAGAAATGTAACCTCGGTTTTAAAACACCCGCTCAATATCAACAGCATTTAAAGAATGTTCATCGAGGCAGAAAATTTATTTGTCAAGAGTGTAGTAAGTTTGATTCAAGTAGTCTTTTATCATTAGTCATATGTAATATTTTACTTGTTCTCAAGCCTGTCTGAATCAATGAATAATCCTCTCGGTGTGATTAGTGTCTTTACACTTGATTAATTAAAAGATATTTCTTATATATGTATGTAGTATATGCTAGTTGACCTTCACCGGCAAACAATGTGTGGTCAGGGAATTATGAGGAAATAAACTGAATTCACAAATTACAGACTATTTCGCAGTTTTCACAGTTCAAGGTCACTATTTCATCAAAGGTTCATTTTGAAAGCGAAATTATTCAGATCACAAAATGTGATTGACCTGTACTATAAGTTACAGTCAAGAAAGCAAACATAAATGCATCACGCTATATACTACTGATTCATTGAGACGAGTAGTTGGACACTACTCACACTAAACAGTAGTAGTGTTTGCTAGTCAGATCGAAGTGATCTAAACTATGCGTGATACGATTGTTTTTGCTTCCTTGATTACCACAACGTGAAACTCAGTGGGGCGTTCGAATTGCATACAGGAGTAAGACAAGCTAGCTGACTGCCTGTTATCACCCGCGATGATATTCTTAATTGTGGTGGACTGACTGGATTATGCGTCAGACTGTGCTTGGGAGCGAGGAGACAGGAGTACGCTGGACGACCAATAAGAAGACTCTAAAGGATCTAGATTTCGTAGATGATATATGTCTAATGTCACACAAACTCGAAGAGGTGCATGCGAAAACCAACAAACTGGCTGGAGAAGCAGACAGAGAAGACAGGACTGCAGATAAACACAGAGAAGACGGAGGTGATGAAGATAACCCTGTCTAAAATTTCAACATTATGCCAATCAAACTGATGTCCATAATTATCTATATGCATTGATATGATATATGATACATATATCATATATATATGTATATATATATATATACATATATATGTATGTATGATATATTATATGATATATATGATACGCTAAAAATTGCGCTGAAGATGTTGTCTACAAGGACAACGAAAGCTCCGCAACTAAACCAACCGGCTCAGAGAGCACTATTAATTACATACTTATTATTCATTGTTTCTCCTCCCATTCACTCATATCTCTAAAATACCTTCCTATGGCTGTTATATTTATTTGGTTAACATACTTTTATTAAGAATACAAGGGTATAAGCCAAGTGTTATTCTAACAAAAATATTGGACAGACAGTGCGTCGGTGGCACAGTGGTTAGGACTCTCACCGACCATGCACATGGTCCGGGGTTCGATCCCCTGCCGGCGCACACCCGATATCTATGGTCAGCCTGAATTTGGGCTACCGATATCCATGCTGAAAATTCCACACTTGTACTGAAAATACGGTGTGGAATCAAGCTGTAAATCAAAATAAAAAATAAATATTAGACGTATACACCTGTTGAATTACTCTGTGATTCTATGCGTTCTATGCGATTTTTAACCTTTTAATCAACTGTTATTCATGATCAATAAAGTTATTTTGCGGACCTTGTGTAATGCTTGTCCCCTGAGCATCACTAGCACTACTGCCTAGATCGAGCAAAATAATTCCCTAAGGAAAAATAATCCTTTATGTTTTACATAAGCTTAAAGTGTCAGGCATTTGTATCCATTTGTACTCTCTAAATGGACGTCAGTTCATAATGAAATTCTGAAACCAATCAAATCCCTGCAAACCAACACTTGGATATCAATCTGATGCTCACTAGTGACTGGCCCTATTCAGGTAAATAGTTAGCTGGGTTCTCTTGGTAATTCGTAATCAGTGGTGTACAGCAGGTCGGGTGTGAGGGAGGACAAGTACTCGCTAGCGATAACATTGGCTAGTGGTCACGCCAAATCATAAATTGGCAGAAGTGTGAATTCTTGGGATGACGATTGGATTGGGTCCCAGTAGCCTAATGATCTACGAGCTCGCCTTGTAACTAGAAGGGCCTAGGTTGCAACCCCAGATGGTGCATACTGATGAGGGGTTCCAAACTAGGCTGACGAAACAAATGTCCAGTACTCCCTGCAGGTTTTCCAATAGTTCTCTAACCGATGTCGGTTCATGATAAAATCCTGTATTCAGATTTTATTTGGTTGAATTTAGTCGGCTTTACATTTTCTTCGCGTTTTTTGTTGTTGCTGCAAACCCTAGATGGTCTGTAGATCGAACGGTTGAAGTTCATAAAGTAAAATAAAATAATCAAAAATTGAAATTTCACACAGCCCCACACTTGTTGAGAAACATTAGGATATGAAATGTAATGCTTAAATGTATTTCAGATATCTGTCATGTTTTCACTGTTCACTTAAGTGATACACCAATAAGTAAGGAGTATCGACATTCATATCGATCTATTTTTGTAACCTCACTGTACGAACTTTCTACCTGTAAATTATACAGTACGAAACATTCAGCTGTATTCAACCAGTGGGAGGAGATATTTTTGGTTACGTGTCAAGAGTTGACAATACTGCTTAACAGTGCTGTGAAACACAGTCACTAAAAGTAGAGAGGATTTACATTTGTTTAGGTGTTTGACCACCACAGCTTTCATCACATCATTCACATACATGTGGTCGATTTGTTGAGGAAGAGTTTGGCCATTCTATGTGGCCTTTAAAATAATGCCGGATTTTCTCCTACTTATTTTGTCTTATACTCGTGAAATCACAACGGTGTTCTGTCGTAGCGTGATATTACATTGTTTGTAAAGTAAAATCGCGGACGGATTCATCACTTATTCGGAATTACTAATATCTCCATTCATAATATATTTTCCACCATCTCCATATGTGGGACATTTGGCTCTGATGGTGTTCTCATGAATTTTTGTTGCCAGATCTGCCGGGAGCTATGGGATATCACGCCGCCTGATAGTTGTCTACGAAGCTGGTAGAGGATTTAACCATGCTGTATGCTTTTGCCTCATCCAACTGATGTTTGTGAGCTGAAGTAGTTCAGTGGTAGCGTCTCTTACTACAACATTGGGTGACACGGGTTCGAATCTTAGAGTAGATATCATTTCTCTCAAGGTTGCAGATGAGTGCCAATAAACATAAAACTTAGGTTCAAGGTGATCTGCCGATAACGTTTTGTGCGCCAGTGACTCAGTGGCCTAATGCTCTTCAGTTACGCACATTAGTCTAGGGTTTGATTCCCGGCCGACGCACTCCTAAACTTCGCTTAACTGGTAATAAGTCTGAAAAAGAGGGACGGTTTGGTGTGAGACAAGCTAGCTATCACACTCTGTAGAGACAACAACATTGTTACTGAAACTTTGAAAGCTCAAGCTTGAAGCCAAACTTCCCTTTGGAACACAAAGAAATGAAGATAAAGATCTCAGTACATGACAATTTCTGCTTGCTAACACCTTCACTAGTTCTTCATAATTCAATATAGCGAAAATACTGCTTAACAGTGCTGTGAAACACAGTCACTAAAAGTAGAGAGGATTTACATTTGTTTAGGTGTTTGACCACCACAGCTTTCATCACATCATTCACATACATGTGGTCGATTTGTTGAGGAAGAGTTTGGCCATTCTATGTGGCCTTTAAAATAATGCCGGATTTTCTCCTACTTATTTTGTCTTATACTCGTGAAATCACAACGGTGTTCTGTCGTAGCGTGATATTACATTGTTTGTAAAGTAAAATCGCGGACGGATTCATCACTTATTCGGAATTACTAATATCTCCATTCATAATATATTTTCCACCATCTCCATATGTGGGACATTTGGCTCTGATGGTGTTCTCATGAATTTTTGTTGCCAGATCTGCCGGGAGCTATGGGATATCACGCCGCCTGATAGTTGTCTACGAAGCTGGTAGAGGATTTAACCATGCTGTATGCTTTTGCCTCATCCAACTGATGTTTGTGAGCTGAAGTAGTTCAGTGGTAGCGTCTCTTACTACAACATTGGGTGACACGGGTTCGAATCTTAGAGTAGATATCATTTCTCTCAAGGTTGCAGATGAGTGCCAATAAACATAAAACTTAGGTTCAAGGTGATCTGCCGATAACGTTTTGTGCGCCAGTGACTCAGTGGCCTAATGCTCTTCAGTTACGCACATTAGTCTAGGGTTTGATTCCCGGCCGACGCACTCCTAAACTTCGCTTAACTGGTAATAAGTCTGAAAAAGAGGGACGGTTTGGTGTGAGACAAGCTAGCTATCACACTCTGTAGAGACAACAACATTGTTACTGAAACTTTGAAAGCTCAAGCTTGAAGCCAAACTTCCCTTTGGAACACAAAGAAATGAAGATAAAGATCTCAGTACATGACAATTTCTGCTTGCTAACACCTTCACTAGTTCTTCATAATTCAATATAGCGAAAATACTGCTTAACAGTGCTGTGAAACACAGTCACTAAAAGTAGAGAGGATTTACATTTGTTTAGGTGTTTGACCACCACAGCTTTCATCACATCATTCACATACATGTGGTCGATTTGTTGAGGAAGAGTTTGGCCATTCTATGTGGCCTTTAAAATAATGCCGGATTTTCTCCTACTTATTTTGTCTTATACTCGTGAAATCACAACGGTGTTCTGTCGTAGCGTGATATTACATTGTTTGTAAAGTAAAATCGCGGACGGATTCATCACTTATTCGGAATTACTAATATCTCCATTCATAATATATTTTCCACCATCTCCATATGTGGGACATTTGGCTCTGATGGTGTTCTCATGAATTTTTGTTGCCAGATCTGCCGGGAGCTATGGGATATCACGCCGCCTGATAGTTGTCTACGAAGCTGGTAGAGGATTTAACCATGCTGTATGCTTTTGCCTCATCCAACTGATGTTTGTGAGCTGAAGTAGTTCAGTGGTAGCGTCTCTTACTACAACATTGGGTGACACGGGTTCGAATCTTAGAGTAGATATCATTTCTCTCAAGGTTGCAGATGAGTGCCAATAAACATAAAACTTAGGTTCAAGGTGATCTGCCGATAACGTTTTGTGCGCCAGTGACTCAGTGGCC